GAACATTTGAAGAAAGAAGTAGAGAGGAATTTCCTAATTCAAAAAAAAAAATAAATAAAAAAAAATAAAGCAAAAAACACAGAAACAAGATACAAGCAACTAAAAGAAAAATGGAAAAAAGAGAAGAAAAAAATAAAAATTGCATATTACAACATTAATAAACTTAAGGTCAGAGGTTGAAAATTAGAAAACCTGCTAGACTGAGCAGAAAAAAAAAAGATAACATTTTGGGAATAACAGAAACAAACATTATAAAAAAAGAAGAAAAGATCTTGTTATATAATCTTAACACAATATTTAAAGGTTATTGGGTGAGTGCAGCATTAGACAAGAAAAAAGGATCAGATATTGGAATCCTAATAAATAAAATCTGAGAAAAACATGTTGAAGCAGTCAAAAAATATAGCAAATATATAATAGAAATAAATCTATATTTCAAACAACTAGTACTGATAATAATAAGGGTATATATCCTACCAAATAACAAAGCAATTAGCAGCAAAAAATTGTGAAAATAGTAACAAACAAGAGAAAGCATACAGAAATAGTTATACTTGGGGATTTCAACCATACAGTGAACAATATACTAGACAGATTGCATCCACAGACAACAGATTATAATAAACTGCTAATCTTCAATTAGTTTAAAAAGCAAGACTTTACAGACTCTTTCAAAAAGTTGCATTTAACAAAAAGAATATGCATATGATTAAGCCAAGTAATAGTAATAAAAATTGATTATATTTAGTTGTCAGAAACAATTGTAGCTAGTTTTCAAGAAGCTGATATAGAAAAAATGAAAGGTATAACAAGCAATGACCACAAGATAGTTACAACAGTCATATAGATAGAATACATAATTATAAACCAGAGCTATACAGAAATCAAATATAAAGACCAAATAAGAACAATGTATCTGTATAAAGAAACAAAGCAAGAAGACTGAAAAAAATTTGCCAAAGAGCTTCAAGTACAACTAGAGTGAAAAAAAGCACTGAAGCAATTAGAAGAAGAAAGAAGAAGCAAGAAGTATTGTACAGATATTCTAGACATATATGAAATGCAATAGAAGAAGTGATAATATATGCAGCAAATAAAAAGATTCCAAAAAAGAAAATATTCAACACAAGAACAAACAGAAAACATCATCAGAAAAAGCTACAACAGCATAGACACATAATTGAATTACAACAAATAATCAAAAAAACAAAAACAAAAAAAAATCAAGAGATAAGAAAAGAAGAGAAGGAAGAGATAAACAAGAAACTTATAGATATTGGGAAAGAAATAGGAGCAGTGCTACCAAAGCTACACAAACAGTAATCAGAAGCTTGAATAGATAATATAAAAGACTGACAAAAAATTCTAAAAGACAGAAAAAAAGAAGAGTGGGAATGAGCCCAAAGGAAACAGATAAAAGAAAATATAAACAGAAGATGTGAGATGATAAAAACTGATCAAGGATGAATGATTGTTAGCCTTTTGAACAAACTATACAAAAAGATAGTCTTGAACAAATTCATAACACAAAGCATAAAGAAAATCAGTTTAATAACAGAACCTAAGACTGTTTTAGATAGCCTAGAAAAACATTTTGAAAATTAATTTAGAAAGTGAAGAACCAAACTAGAAGAGATGCCTAAAAAATAGATAAAAGTATATAAACCAAAAGAGTAGATTAAGGAGTTCTGGTATGAGAAGCTAGAAGAAAAAATAGAAGAAGAGAATTTTAGGCATAAGCTATACTTTAATAAAAAGAGCAGAAAAGAAATCACAAAAGATCTTTAGAGCCTTCGCAAATTTGGTTTTAAAAACAGGAGAAATGTCTAAAAGTAGAAAATAGCATAAATATATCCAATTCCAAAAGATGTAGACTGAAAATATAATCAGAACAATATTAGACCAATAGCATTAATTGAAACCTTTAAAAAGCTAGTTACAAAGATGATAACAAGAAGACTAGCCAAGATATTCACAGAAAGAGAAATACTCAAAAGACCAAATTATGCAGGCTTGTCTGGCAACTCTATAGAGTAACCAATACATATGCTAAATATAATAATGAAAAAAGTGCAAGAGAAAACTAAAAAACATAGATACTTCTGCAAGATATGAAGAAAACATTTGACTTAGTCCTATTGGAAAGCTTGGAGTGGATGCTCAGAAGAGTAAAAGTACTACAAAGAACAATAAAATATATTATCAACCTTTTCTGTAAACACCAACTTAAGGTAATTACAGCCTATGATCTAACAAAAAAAATAACAGCAAAAGATGGTATAGATCAAAAAGAGATGATTTCTCTACTTATCTGGTAGCTTTTCTACAATTTACTATTAGAAAGAATTCAAGATAAATTACTAGACTACGTAGTAGAGCAAAAAATATTAAAAAATATAGATATTAATTGTATTACAAAATATAAGCAAGTAGCAATTGCTTATGCAGATGACACTACATAGATTGCAAGTAGCAAAAACTAATTACTTAAAATTCTTAAAATTGCAAAGCAGTTTTTCAAGATGAATGATATTAAAATAAATAGAGCAAAGTCAAAGCTCATAGTAATAAACTTAAGACTAAGAAAGGAAGATAGAGAAATCATATTTGGACAGAGCAGAATAACAGAAGAACCAAGAAACAAAATTGTAAGATCATTAGGAATTTGGCTAAATAGCAGAATAAAAGAGTTACTAGTTTGCAAAAAAGCAAAAGAAATAATTAGCCAAACAGTTAAAGATCTTAAATACAAAAAAATAACAATAAGCCAAATCATTTACCTAAATAACACAGTAATTATCCCAAAATTAGAGTATCTTTTACAGTTAACAAGAATGTTAGAAAAGATGATCAACAAAATCCATTAGCCAATAATATGTTTGGCAAAACACAAATACAATATGATGAGAACAACAAACAACTGCATAATTGAGTACAAGGATTTGAGAAACTGTAAATCACTAAGTTGAGAGATAATAACAAAGCAAATAAGCAGTTTATTGACAAGACTTAACAGAAAAGACACTTTAGATAATTTAACAAAACTTAGAATAGCTCATAGATGTCAAAAAGCAGGCTTAGTAAAAGACATATAGAACTCTAAAAAGAAAATAAAAGAAATAAAGTATTAGAAGTACAATTTAGCTTGTTGAACAATAGTTAAAGCAAGAGAGATAGAAATAAATATCAGAGCAGAACATTACTTATAAAAAGTACATAATCAACAGATTGTACAAATAAGTCTTAATTGGGATCCAAGAAGAGGATTTGATTAGAAGAGTAGTCTGACAAGTAACCAAGACTGAAATGGTGAGAGAAGCAGTAAACATGAGAACAGACTGTGATAAAGGATTGGTCTAACCAAAATTGAAAACACCTCTGGCATAGCCGAATAATCTAATTATAGAAGGAAAGATCTTGAAAATAGGCGTATAACCCTCTTGTGCAATGTAAAAATACCAAATCAGGTTCTAATCATACCTATATAGAAGTCTATAATGAACAAAACTAAGGATCAACTAACTAATGTAAAATAAGATCTGTAAAGTAGTATAGCATCACTGAGGTTAGTATAACTCCCTAAACATAATCAGAATTGTCCTGCAAGTATTGTTGAATAAGCTGTGAGCTTGCAATACATGGTAGTATGGTATCACTAGGGTCAGAGAAACTCCCTAGATATAACCAAAATTGTCCTGTTTTTAAATGCAACAAGTTCTAGTCTTTATTATAAAAGAAAACATCATGTTGAAGATTAAATGTAACATCAAGTTACTGTATGACGTTAAGATCTGGAACATCTACAGGAATGACGGTAGCAGATTTGACTTGAAATACAGATTGATCAAAAGACCAATGATAGCAGCAAATCTGACTTGAGATATGGGTTCATTGTAGATCCTGAACTATTATCAGAACACCTTAGAGGAATCAATAACAGACAAACCAAAGATAAGAAGATCATAAGGATCAGACATATCTGAATAGAACCAATTTGAAATTGATACAGTGACAAAAAAATGGGAAATGTGAAGAACAAGGTAATACTAGATATAGTTAGATTAGGAGGCAGAAGAAACAAGACTAGATAAAACATGTGAGTAAGACATATAAGTATGATTTACAGAAAACAGTTCCCCTGACATTTGGGATGCCGTATTAAGTTCGGTAGGTATCCTTGTCTGTGTAACAGTTTAATGTGTGTCATGACCACAAGTGGTTGCCAAGGTAACTGCGTGCAGGCATGTGGCGAACATGTACTTAGGTACTGTAAGGATAACCGGGTGAAGTCAGTGGTGTTAAATTAGATAGTATATAGTACTAGTAATAATTGATCCTAAAATGTAACTATAAATTTGTATTATATCAAATTAAGGCTAATAAAAACCAACTGGCATTGTCACCAAAGTATAAAAAAAAAAAAGTTATATTAACCTATGATTGCTAACTTTTTGTAACCACTTCTAATAACATCTATATTATTATGCAATCTGTTTTGATTAGAAATTTTAAAGAAATAGGCCTACCAGATGATAAATTAATAGGTGGTGTAATTTCATTAGTACCGTATTGTCTCGAAATAACGCCCCGGGATGTAGGTTAAAATCTTGGCCCGAATTAATCGTAATTCGGCCTAAATTAAGCTTAATTCTGGCCAAAGTTTTAACCTACACCCCTGGCGTTATTTCGAGACAATACGGTAAAGTCGATCTTAGCCGATCAAAATCAAGAATCTGCGTCGATGTATACAAAGATACTTTGGCTATGATTGGTCATTTCCGATTTATATTCATAAATTGCCAATTTGAAAATCACATGATAACTATTACTAGCTACATATACGCTTTTTATACAGTACGTATTGTAAAAAGTATATAGTAATGTGACAATGTTATGCATGAATATTTTCCGGTAAAATATAGGTACGTACGTATTATATAAAGCAAAATTCCACCTTGTTTCATTCCCAAAGGCGTTTTTCGAACGAAGCGATGTCTAATATGGCTAATCTAAATCCCGCGGCTTATACTAATGGTATTAACTTAACAAATGGAATAGTTGGCGTGCCAAATACCCCCAGAGGTTTGGCTCATATGCACCTAGCCATGGGACAAACACCTCACACCCTCAACCCAGCAATGCAACAATATGGTCTTGGGATTCCAATGCTGGCTAACATGCCGGCTATAAATAACTCCAGATTACAAGGACAAAGACAAATGGCATTAGCTCAAAATCCGTCACCTCCTATTTCGTAAGTGTTAGTTTATTATGCTTATTCTAAATCAACACTTCCAAATTTAATTTACACAAATCTTTATCTTCAAACGTTAGCCGGAATCCAATGCCTTACCTTTCGAGGCGAGTCATATGAAGTTATTCATCTTCATATAGCAACATATTTATTAATTTTACCAGGTTTTGGAATTTAATCAAGAACGCATTATTTTTCATCTTAATAGACCTCAACAATCTCAAGGAACATGCATTCTACGATTATTTATGTTCAGTGAATACCTAACGAACGAGGTGAAGATTTACTTTGGTTATTTGTACATTTTTTATTATTAATGTTCACCCAAACTGTACTTCCCTTTTAGACTTCTAATAAAAAGGATATAGGTTATTGGCAACGATTTGTAAATGAATTTTTTTCAGAGGATGGAAAATTCAGATATGGACTATGGAACTGTCTTACAACAGAAAAGAGGATGTTTGGTTAGAATCTATTACTACATTCTTTATCATTGTTGACCTCATTCACTGTGACAGATAAAAAGATTGAAATAATTTTAATCAGTTAGTATACTTTCAATTAATAGATATACCGAATCCAGTCATTTCAAGATTTTTCCAAGTAAATTTTGAATCTGGTGTCACATCAATACAGCTCACAATGAATAATATCAAAGAAAATTTAAGTCATCCGATTATCATTGGAAACAATGGTTTTGCAGCACCAGTTAGCACTGTCGAAGCAAAGGCCTCAATGATATATAATTATGGAGATGGATCAAGGGTATATTAACCAGTTTAAATTTATCATTTACCTTATACATCCGTTCCAACTTTTCTTATTAGTCGATGTTATTATTTTGTTTAGGTTGTGGCGACAGGTCTTCTTAAAGTGAGATTTAATTATAATATTAAAATAGACATATTCGAATTTACAACAGAAAAGCATATAGAGTATGTGCCTCGGCTTATTAATATACTACCTGGGAGTCCGATTGGGGAATATGGTATTCCTACGAAGACACTACGAAGCCTAGAAGTATGGAATCCATGAATAAATATTTTTATATGTGAATTTAAACTAAAAATATTGATTTTTGTCATCTTAGGTCGCTGAAGGTGTAGTGACATTAAATGATTTAATAGCAACAGTAATTAATTCAAATAAAGGACCTTTACGTAAGAATTATTTCCCATGACTTTTTATGATTGATATTTTATAGTCTTTAATTGGCTTTTCGTTCTTACATGCACTTATGCAGAGGCTTTAAGTGCCCTGGCAAATCCGGAACAAAAGCCACAAAATATCATAAATCAATCGAACGATACTCCACTAACACCAGGCCCATCACCATCTGAGATACCTGCCAAAACTCCTAAAGAAAAAGTTGAAAATACGTCCACGGATAATAATACACAACAATCCACGACAAATGATGTATCAGTACCATCACCATCAACATCAAATGCAATTGCAAAACAAGAATCGCCATCAGTGAAACCAAAATCTCCAGTTCTAAGTGGTAAGCCATTGCTACCGATGCATTTTGTGAATTTGAATTTCTATATTCATTGATCATTTTTTTGTATTCTATTTTAGGTAAGAGGCCAAGTGATCCTAATGTTCAGAAACCAAAACGGACGCGAACGAATCAAAGAAAAGGTAGTCGACAAGAAACTGGATCATGAGAGTGGCATAAATTGGCTGTGTACAACATCATAATCAACCATAGTTTTATAATAATATCACGTTCTTTAAAATTTTCTTTTGTTTGCATATCTTCTTGTATTTAGTATTATTTTGTGTAATTATTTCGATGATTTTCGCATTCCTTGGAAATGATTAGTAAATATTGTAGTCATAGCCAATCAACCTCATCGATTTATTTAGATGCTTCGATCTTTCTTCTTTGGGTTTTAAACTTTAATTTATGAATTAGAACATTTTCATTGATCTAATCAAGAATAGAATATAATGATTCTTTTATAGGTATTCTATGATTAGTGAATAAAAAATACTTGGTGTATACTGTGATTTATAATCACAATGTAAAACTTAGTAGGCATTACCAGATAAATATTCTAATAATTAAATTTTAAAACTCAAAGATACATATCAAGAATCGTATATATTATTAAATTATTTAATTATAATTTTCGTAGAACTTTTGTAGTAAATAGAATTTTGTATAGTTAAATTTAGTAAAACTTTTTAAAATTATAACTAATTTTTATATCTTTATTTGAATATATTACTATATAAAAGAACTCCCTGGCCGGAATCCTTTAATTGATAAACGAAGTCGTAAGTAAAAATGTTTATATGATAATTTTTTGTATAGTCTGCTGGTATCGGCCTAGCCCCGATGACGACCCAGCTGGCCTCGCAAATGGTAAATTGTCATCGGTTTACCGGTAATTTACTTCATCTGGTAAATCATTGGAAAGTTCGGAAAGGTAGGTATATAGCAGTGACGTTAATTGACTCCATAGAACACCAAATAACATATGGCAATGACGACAATGGCTTATGAATGCTACATCCATTTTCATAGTAAGTTGCAACAGATCGACATGCGGACATTCTTACTTAATGAGTGGGTTGTAACTATTAATGCCGATGGATTTTGGTTGCACCACTAAAAATCTATATTTTTATAACACAATCAATAAAGAATGTTATAACGTTATTAATAATTGAGTTTTTAATTGGCCAATTTGGTATTTGCAACTACTCTCCATAGAGTCACACCCTCTTTATAAGCACACTAATTTTTAGAACAAACTTGTACAAAAAATGAGAAATTTGACCTCTTTATACAGGCACAATTTCTTGGAACCGAGGGTATGGCTGTAGAGGTTCGATTTTTCATATCATGTGTAAAACTAAATGACTACCATACGCCACTGACTAAAGTACCCCCGCTCTAATACTCCCGTGAAAAATACAATTCATAAGTTCATATTGAATCCTTATTAAACTACTATTAAACTATGTAGAGTACCGTAATTAGTATCCGGGAAGGTACTAATTTGATGGTTGATTGAATAGTACCCGGGGTACTTTAGTCAGTGGTGTACAGTAGTTGATGATTTGATCGATTAGCGGATTTTAATTGATTAGTCAACTTTAAATATAATGAACATCTATATAACGAACTCTGGATATAACGATCTCAAATTTTATTTTAAAAAAAATTTTTATGATAGTTCTGTATAGAAAACAGGTCCTTAAGAAATCAGTAATTTTATAGCAGACTTTTTTTCGAAAGAATTGACTGTAGTTGAAAAGTTGTCAACTAGTTGATTTTTCAACTAACAATTTGGTATCATATTAAGTACTATGGATATATTAGAAAACTTATCCGTGAGAAAAATGATCTACACTAATCAAAACAAATATACGTAATATTTTTTTTCATAAAAGAGTTCAAAATTTTGCAAAAAATCTTTTTTATTAGTGCACAGAAGGACAAAATTTTGAGTTATCTGTGATGTTTACATTACATCCAATCTGGTCACTTATTTTATTTTATTTTTTTTCTCATCTCTTTGCTATCCTGAAGGTTCTTAGACACCTTTAGGATCTGTTACATCTCTTTAAAGGCCAGAGTTATCATTTAGCAGAGATTATCAGATGGTGTGTAGCTCTCATATTCATCACCATATTTGTGGAGATAACTTATGTTTCATTAAGTCCATCATATGATGTCTTGGGTCTTTGACTTTGTGGTGTAGAATCTACTATTTTTTTATTCGGTTCACAGTTTTCTAATTTCATATAATTCATTAATGAAAAAAATGTTTTTTTTAAATTGTTTAACATATATTAAAACAATATGATCTTAAATAGAACATAAAGAAAAAGTATGTGTTAAACAAATTTAGCTGTTATTAAATATAAAACAACATAAATTAAATAAAATTAATAAGAAATAGTATAGATTAAATGAATTACAAATTACTGTATTAAAGATTATTTAGTATAAAAGTATAAAGAAAATTTTAATATATATAAAAAGGTTAAAGAAATATCTTTTTTTAATATTAATTTTTTCTATATCTTTAAATAAACTTTTAATAATTTTAATAATGATAAACCTATTACAGAAATTATCAACATAAGTTATTTTACAAATCTATTATAAGTTCTTTAATTACCAAACTTTTATAAATAAATATAACATTCAAATACTATTATCTGTAAAGCCAATAATAACATTTTTATTCTTAATATAGAAATCTTATATATTTTACCAACAATTTAAATTAATAATATATTGATAAAAATAAAAATAAATTTGTTTAATAATGCTCAAGTCAGATTTTTCTTATAATAGTACTAATAATTATCATATTAATATAAGAAAATTATTATACTAAGATTACTGATATATATTAGTTAGTTGTCTGCTTATCTAATTATAATCAGATATATTGTTTAGGTTATAATTATTATTTAAGAGACCTATTAATAGAAAAATTAAATTACAACAAGTTTATAAAGACAAATAAAATTAAGATCTAAACTAAAACTTATTAATTATTTAAAGTCATTTGCTATGAACAAATATATTAAATAAAGAAACTGATTCTAAAACATATTAGTAATATGAATAAAACCAAGTTTAATTAATTAGTTAATAGGGTGTGATGACCTAGTAAAGTGGTCAGGTTTTTAACCTTCCAAGTGGTAGGTTGGATGTTCAAATCCTATCGACAGTGAAAATTTGGATAATTACCTATGTAATATTCATATTATGCCAATTGTTACTAATGATTAGGTTAGGATATCTGTAATAGCAGTCACACCAGCATGACTGGCAGGTCATGGGGCATCCATGCAATGTTGGAATTACACAGAGGAATGCAAACTGACAAATCGGGTGGTGCAAATACTAGATAAGTCCTTGTGACTGTGTAAATCCATTGAAATTGGGTAACAAGAAGTCCATTTGAGAAGACCCGAATAGAGAGGTAGCTGGATCTTTGATGGCCCTACTGTAAAGGCTAGCTCAGAGAAACAGATACCCAGGTCTAGTATTCAGTCCTAGTAGTCAGACGGACAAGAACCTTCAGATTGGGAGTCTCAGAGGTACCACCAACCAGGCCGTCAGAACGAATCAGAGGAAAAGAATATCAGGCTGACCTGATATACCGATGGACTGATCATAGTCCTACATGGACTATCTAAATTAAAAGTTTGGTAAAAGGGTAGGAGAAAAGGCAGGGGTATACTAAAGTACTGGGGTTATACTGTGAAGTAGATGCTGGAGTCTAAGTGAACTCTATAAGAGCATAGCGGTTTAATGGTTAGCTCTAACTACAAGTGTTGGTTTTGTTATAATGATACCTATGTCAGCTGTAAAAATAGGTACAGAAGGCTCTGGGAGGTTTATCTCGAGAATAAATTAGTCCTAAGGTTGAGGATGATGATCTGGTACATCAGAGATAACCAGTGATATTAATACAGATTACAGGTTCAGAAGGTTTAAAATAGAACATCCAAGCAGAGATGTTAGGTATGGCAATTGATAGGGAACTTTTAGGTGGACTCCTTAAATAGGTAATATAGAAAAGTTATACATATAGCCAATTGTAAGCTCTTCTGTAGTGGTTCTTTGAACCATAATACTGATAAGTGATTAATAAAAATCAAAAGATCAAAGAGGTCACCTTAATACCAAAAAAAAAAAAAAAATTAATTAGTTAATTTTTGTATATAGTACTAAAGTTGTAAAAATTTTGTGAACCAAAATTTTTAAGAAGAAAAAATGTTATGAAATAGATTTTTAATATAATATTTTTTTTTTTTTTTTAAATATTAAGGTAAGTACTTGTGATCCAGGATTTTATTAGTAGTATATTTAGCTAATAGATGCTTTACAACCATAAGAGACAACTATGAGAAAAGTGTACAACTAGCTACTTGTACAACTTTAGTCATTGTCTAATTTAAGTAGTCTGCCTGAAGGTTTTATACTAGCTGCTATACCTGGAACCTGCTTATAGATTCCCTATTTAACTACTCTGTTTCCATATCCACCCACCTACCTTTGCCTACTAATGACTCTGGTTGATGCTAATAAAAATATATCATACTTACTAAGTCTTTAAAACAGTTCACTTATATAGGAAACCTTTAACCTTGTACTAAATCTTTCAGAATCTTCTGTATTCTATTTTTATAGCTGATCTGATATCACTATAGCCAAGATCAATACTGGTAGTCAGAACATACTATTAAACCGTTATGCCCTTGTAGAGTTCACCCCAACCTCAATACTGACTTCACAACATATCCTTACTACTTTGGTATTCAATTCAAGTTCCACCAAGCTGCCATTCTAGATAGCCCAGAAAGGTAAGTCAAAATCATACATCTTTGGTTTACATGTTTGCTAGCATGTGCCCTTTTTCTTCAAAACCTGAAAATTCTAATAGCCTGGTTGGTTCATCTAGTTCCTCCTCAAAGACCAGCATATTTGCCTAGTTTCACAAGTTCTAGCTCTGTTTTATAAGTCTAGTCTTTACAATAGTACTGTTGAAGGTTCAGGTTACCTTTCTACTCGGGTCTTCCAAGTAGGCTTCCGTCTTCTTATCTGGTTTCTGTGATTTACATGGCCTAAGAACTTATCTTGAGTTCATACTGCCCAGTACCAGTTTGTGTTCTCTCATACAACATTGTA